GCTAATGGATTTATACTGTGCTGCTGCTGGCCCTTTAAGAACTGCATCGTGGTTTATGGACTTGTATTGGACCATGCTGGCCCTTTAAGAACCATATGGGGATATATTGAGACTTTGTGTGACAATGCCCCTTTAAGACTATGTCCCCAGACTGTTAAAATACTTTGTCTATGGCTTTCTCCTCCTTGGTTCAGTAAATGGGACTTACTGAACCAGGTACCACACAGGCGGACCAACCAGAAGTGGAAGTGTGCAGGCAATTTACCTCCCAGGCTTGGAGCCTGCTGTAGGTAAATTGCCGACCGCTGGGTGGCCGCAGTTCGTGCAAACCAACACGTGGCGGCGGCCATCTTTGTTCATTCGCACGAGGTCAGCGGTATGTGTAGCCAACTTCATGGAACTAAAATCGGCTACACATTTCAACGAACACCACTGACCTGTACCTTTTCCTACACTGAATTTGCAGCTGCAGAGACTAAGTCCCGTTCGGCAGTTTGAACTCACTGTTATACTAAGCTATGGAACTGTTTTGGGCAGGAAAACGTGCTTACGGTCGGTCATAAAGGACTTCCGTCTAACTTTTGATCTACTGGATGGATTTGTCTGATTTTTGGTTCTGTTTATATTTAAAGTGTGCTGGTTAATAATATGTAATTTGAAGGAATATTGGATGTATAGTTTTAGAGTTATGAAAGTTGGGTAAAAACGTGTGTTTTAAAATGTATGGATAATTGGGTTACCTCTCAGGCTAAGGGGAGGAGATGTGTGGGATGTAACCATGGTGTGATTGGGTATTGTGTAATTGTCTGTGGGCGTCTCCCTTGCAGGGGAGAATTGCATAAAAGCAGAGTATGTGTCATTAAAAGTTGAGATCATCTTGTACCTTCATGAAGTTTCGGCTCATGTTTGGGGGATTGGAGAAACTACACTCTGGGGATTGCTATAATCACTATACTCCCCAGGGTATAATCACTAAGCTCTGCTAAGAGCTTGTTCCTGTTATTGCTCTCTGGAATCCGGAGAGGTCAACCTACTGGAAGCTGGACCCTGGTCTTGGGTCCAGAGTGGAGACGGCGAGACCCCAACCAAGCTGTGGCGGTTCGTGGGGTCTGCAGTGGTTATGGTGTCGGGCAGAGTGCTTGGAGTCCTCAGAAAGCACTAGGAGCATCTGTCGGCGGAAGGTACCCGGTCGGGGTGCCTGCGGTTCCGTCACAGGGAGTGGGAGGGAGAGGGGCACTGCAGGAACCTGCAGTGCCAGGAAAACGGATATGTTTTCCTGGCACTGGAAACAATTTTATCTCTAACACTGTAAATTGAACTTTAATCACATACAGGAGGCTCTTGCAGGGTCTAGCAAGCTATTAACATAGCAGGGGATAGGAAAATCTAAATTAAACAGAACTTGCAGTAAAGGAAGGATAAACATTAGATGACTCTTTACAGGAAGTGTTTAGGAAGGCTGTGCAAGTCACATGCAGGGAGGTGTGACAATGGTTCATAAACAAAGTGATTTAACTCCTAAATGGCCAAGAATTGAGCAGTGAGACTGCATGGGGCATGATCTATACACCAAAACTACTTCATTAAGCTAAAGTTGTTTTATTGACTATAGTGTCCTTTAAGCCATATTCCAAATCCTAATCAGAAAATCTCTCTTAAGATGATACTTTCAAAATTCACTAATAAATAGTGTTCTTAGCACTACTTTGCGGCGATTTTTGGATGCCTGATTTGGTTTTTCAGTGATCACTGAAAATGAGAAAGAATGTATCCATTTTGTAGACTAATTTGAGCTTAGGAAGGCATCTCCAGAAATTAACCTCAGTGGTGCTCAAAGTCACACTTTACTATTTTTGATGTTAAAACTGTCTAAAATCAAGTCTAGATTAGAGTTGAGCCGACACTTGGATGTTCGTTTTCGGCCAACGGGGACCCGAACTTTTGGGTACTAAAATGCCTCTAGAAAAGTCCTGGAAAGGGCTAGAGGACTGCAAAAGGAAGTAAAATGGGTGTAAGAGTAGGACAAGTGCCCTGCAAACAAATGTGGATTGGGAAATCACTTAAAATAACATAAAATAACATAAAAATTTAAAATACAGCTGAGCCGTAAAATAACACTAGATGGAATCTTTGATTTTAGCTTTGGAAGAACATAAATCAAAATCTAAAGCATTGCTGTCAGGAGGATCACCAGAATTATCCATTTGAGAGAGGGTTGGAGTGCAGGGTATTCTCTTTCATTGTTCAAACTGAGCTCAACTCCTGATGCATGGAGAAAAGGCCTTCACAAGCCTCTGCTATTGTTTACATAGTTTATACTAAGTGGCCCATAGGTTGAGGAGGCGGTGACCATGGTGGTGTAGGTGGAAGCGGCGGTGGAGGAGGAGGAGGTAGCCAACACTGTTTTTTTATTTTTTTATTTGAGGTAGCCCACAAAATATTGGGACATATAAAAAAAGAAACATTTGCGGCCTGTGATGCATTTCTTGCAGTCCTGATGCATGGAGAAAAGGCCTTCACAAGCCTCTGCTATTGTGTACATAGTTTATACTAAGTGACCGATAGGTTGAGGAGGCGGTGACCGTGGCGGTGTAGGTGGAAGCAGCGGTGGAGGAGGAGGTAGCCAACACTGTTTTTTATATATATATATATATATATATATATATATTTTTTTTTTTTTTTAATTGGGGTAGCCCCCAAAATATTGGGACATATAAAAAAGGAAACATGCGGTGCATTTCTTGCAGTCCAATAACGCCATCAGGTTTTTAAAACTGTCCGTCTCCACCAGACGGAATGACAGCATTTCAAAGGCCACAAATTTTGAAATGCTGGCATTCAGGGTCACGGATCGCGGGTGGCTAGGGGGGATACTTCCTCTTTCTCTCCAGTGTTTGGGAGATGGACAGCTGAACGCTTCCATGGGACAGTGTGGAGATGCTGGACAATTGTGTACCTGGCCTATGCTGGTGCAGGAACCCACCCTCCGAGCCACTTGTGAATGACTGGCCTGATAACCGTGGAAATGACCCCTCTTCCTCATCCTCTTCCTCCTGTGCCACATCCTCTTCCATCATCGCCCAAAGCGTTTTTTCAAGGAGACATAGAAGCGGGATAGTAAGGCTGAGAACAGCGTCATCGGCACTGGCCATGTTGGTGGAGTACTCGAAACAGCGCAACATGGCACACAGGTGTCACATGGAGGCCCACTCATTGGTGGTGAAGTGGTGCTGTTCCGCAGAGCGACTGACTCGTGCGTGCTGCAGCTGAAACTCCACTATCGCCTGCTGCTGCTCGCACAGTCTCTCCAGCATGTGCAAGGTGGAGTTCCACCTTGTGGGCATGTCACATATGAGGCGGTGAGCGGGAAGGCCGAAGTTACGCTGCAGCACAGACAGGCGAGAAGCAGCAGGGTGAGAACGCAGAAAGCGCGCACAGACGGCCTGCACTTTCTGCAGCAGCTCTGATATATATGGGTAGTTTTTCAGGAATTTCTGCACCACCAAATTCAGCACATGCGCCAGGCAAGGGATGTGCATCAAGCCAGCTAGGCCCAGAACTGCTACGAGATTTTGCCCATTATCACACACCACCAGGCCAGGCTTGAGGCTCAGTTGCAACAACCACTCATCGGTCTGTTGTTCCATGCCCGTCCACAGCTCCTGCGCGGTTTGGGGGTTTTCCCCCAAACATATGAGTTTTAAAACAGCCTGCTGTCATTTCCCCCTAGCTCTGCTGATGTTGGTGGTGAAGGTGTTACGCTGACCGGATGAGGAGGTGGTAGAGGAGGAGGAAGCGAAGTACGAGGAGGAGGAGGCAACAGGAGGCAAAGCTGTGTACCCAAATAAAGATTGTCTAACGTTGTATCCTGGAACTGTGTCCCATCCGGTTACTGGGGAAATGGGTCTGACCTATTCTAATCAAAGGGGATAACCATCGGATACCCAGGTCCCACTTCAATTGGTGGCAAGCGGCGGGATCCCATGTCCCTGCCATCAGACCCATGGACTACAGTGCTCTAAAGCGACCTACACTGCAGGACTTGTGTGGAGCCAGAGGAATAACGCCTGGTGGGCATAACAAGGACGAAATGACTGCTGCGCTCATAGAGGACGACCAGGCACACGGTGAGGGAACGAACCCCAGCCAGGGGCCGGAGATGAGGAGGAAGTGCGCAAGGAGGTGGAATGGCGCCTGGCATATTACCAAGAGCCACCCTCAGAGGAGATTGTTAACAGGACCTTTTTGGAGGTGCAAGCCTATGTCCTTGCCAATAGACAGAGGGCGACCTCCATGAACCCAGATGAAGGAATAAGGGAGCAGAGGGAACCGGGAGGCACAATCACCCTGGCCCACAAGCTACCATACAATGCCTTCAAAGAGTTCAAGGAAGCAGAAGAATACATTGATGACTTTTTACAAGACTTTGAGCGCCAGTGCCTACTCCAAGACGTGGACCCCAGCAAACTAGTGGGGAAGGCAGCGGATATTTACCGGGCTGTGCCAGAAGAGCAGATCAGAGACTATCCTTTTACTACACAAATCCTCCTGGCCCGGTATGCGGTCACCCCTGAGCAATACCGCCGAAAGTTTAGGGAGACCCAGAAAGGGGAGAAGGACTCCCATGCGGAGTGGGCATGCCGCATCACAAGGGCCACCCAGAACTGGCTCAACTCCCATCAAGCCAGGTTCCCAGAGGAGATCACCCAGCTCGTCATGCTAGAGCACTTTTTCAATTGGCTCCCCAACGACACGACTGATGAGAGACCGCCAGCCCCAACCCAAGAAGTATTGGTATGAGCTGCTGAAACTAGCTCACGATATCCCCTTGGCAGGGCATTTGGGCAGGAGCCGGACAGCGTCTCGGCTCACCCACAGCTTCTTCTAGTTAGGCATCTCTCAGGGTCTGAGGCAGTACTGCCAGATGTCTTCCAGAGAGTGGGGAAGAGAAGGGACTGGCACAGAGCCCCCCTCCATCCCCTACCTATTAGTGAAGATCCTGTCGCCATTATAGTTGCGCAGGCACTTTGGTGACTCTAGAGAATCTCGGGCCAATCGCACATCCCCGTGACGGCGACGACGCGTTCGTCATACCATGGTGACCATGGGTAACGGGGAATCAGGGTTCGATTCCGGAGAGGGAGTCTGAGAAACGGCTACCACATCCAAGGAAGGCAGCAGGCGCGCAAATTACCCACTCCCGACGCGGGGAGGTAGTGACGACAAATAACAATACAGGACTCTTTAGAGGCCCTGTAATTGTAATGAGTCCACTTGAAATCCTTTTACTATGATCAATTGGAGGGCATGTCTGGTGCAGAGCGACTGATCCATGCGTACTGCAGCTGAAACTCCACTATCGCCTGCTGCTGCTCGCACAGTCTCTGTGCAAAGTGGAGTTCCACCTTGTGGGCACATCCAGGGCCGGCGCGTCCATAAGGCGGCAAAGGCGGCCGCCTTAGGGCGCACCTGCTCCGGGGGCGCAATATTTCAGTGACCGGCAGGAGGGAAGCTCTCCCTCCTGCCAGGCCACCATCTCGACCCCCGGCGCGGCGTGCGGCAGTGCTGTGATCAGACGCGGCGAGGGAGCTCTAACCTCTCTGCTCTGCTCCCTCGCGCGCTGTCTGCTGATGCCGCGGGAGCCAGAATATGACGTCATATTCCGGCTCCCGCGGTATCAGAAGGCAGCCGCGAGGGAGCAGAGCAGAGAGGTTAGAGCTCCCTCGCACCTCCCAGCAGCCCCACTGGACCCCAGGGAATGATTCATCATCCACACCAGCTCTCCAGGTAGGGAGGCTGGGTGGAAAATGTTTATTTATTAAAATAATTAGTGAGTGTGTGTATGCGTGTCTGTGTGTCTGTGAGTGACTGTCTGTGATTGAGTGTGTGTCTGTGTGTGAGTGTATGTGTGCCTGAGTGACTGTGTGCCTGTGAGTGACTGTCTGTGATTGAGTGTGTGTCTGTGTGTGAGTGTGTCTGTGTGAGTGTATGTGTGCCTGAGTGACTGTGTGTCTGTGAGTGACTGTCTGTGATTGAGTGTGTGTCTGTGTGTGAGTGTCTGTGTGTGTCTGTGTGTGAGTGTATGTGTGCCTGAGTGACTGTGTGTCTGTGAGTGACTGTCTGTGATTGAGTGTGTGTCTGTGTGTGAGTGTCTGTGTGTGACTGTGTGTGTGTATGTGTGTCTGTGTGTGAGTGTATGTGTGCCTGAGTGACTGTGTGCCTGTGAGTGACTGTGTGCATGAGTATGTGTGTCTGTGAGTGAGTGTGTCTGTGAGTGTATGTGTGTGTCTGTGAGTGCTTGTATGAGTACTGCATGTGAGTGTATGAGTGTGGCAGTGTATGTGTGTCTGTCAGTGTGTGTTTGTGAGTGTCTGTCAAATCAGTGAGAGTATCTTTGTCATTGAGTCTGTGTGTGAGTATCAGTGTGTCTGTCAATGAATGAGTGTGTGTCAGATCAGTGAGTCTGTGTGTTTGTCATTGAGTGTGTGTGACTGTCAGTGTGTATACACCACTGAGTGTAGCGTGGCGGAGCTCAGTACAGGAGCTTCTGTTTCCTGTACCCGGCCAGACTGACCGGAGGTGCTCACTGAGAGAGCACTCCCTGTCAGTCTGGCCAGGTACAGAAAATTGAAGCTCCTGTAGGGAATATCCTCCACTCGGCAACGCTACAAGAGATGTAGGAGGCACACCAGGAAGGGGAGTGCGACCACTAAAGGGGTGGGGGGTGCACCAAGGGACAGGGAGGGGAGGGGAGAGAAACACCAAGGGACAGGAAAAAGAGGGGAGAGCTTAGAAGAACACTAAGGGACAGGGAAGGGAGGGGACCACTAATGGACGGGGAGAGGGGCTGGTTAAGAGGCACATAGGTGAAGATGTTATTTTGGGGGGGGGGGAGGTGGAAAGATACATCTTCGCCTATGTACCCAAAAATCTTTGCACCGGCCCTGGGCACGTCGCATATGAGGCAGTGAGCAGGAAGGCCAAAATTACGCTGACTCTCAGATATGAAGTGCACCAGAGGACGCAAATGTATTATTTAGCACCCAAAACTATTAGAATTTTTAAAAGTGCACTGTAAGCACAGTATTTGACGGTTCTATTTGACTCTCGGATATGAAGTGCACCGCAGGACGCAAATGTACTATTTAGCACAAAAAAGTGTGATTTTTTTAAACCAACAATGTAACATTAGTATTTAAGGGTTTTATTAGACTGCGAGAAATGCAGTATGCAAATATACTATTTAGCACCCAAAAAATTGCAGTATTTAAAAATGCCTAGATGTTGCCCACTGAGCTACCAGAACAGGATTCAAGTCATGTGACTGGCACACATGCAGTTGCAAGTGCACTGCACTCTCTGTGGAACTGGGCTCAGGGCAGGGTACAAAAATTTAATATAGCACCCACTAAAATAATCGCTGTAGTTTGAATAATCGCTGTAGTTTGCAGATTCAACACCAGAATTATTTCCTAAGCTGTCCCTCACAGCTGCAGCATCCTGTCCCTACACTAATAAGAGCTCATGTGACGTGCTGTGCTACGTGACTCCAGCTTATATATAGAGGCTGGGTCACATGCTGCACTGGCCAATCACAGTCATGCCATTAGTAGTGAAAACGAGTCAAACGCTTGTTGATTGGCTGCCCTGACGCCTTTCAAAACTCGCCATTAAATCGCCGAACAGAACTCCAACCCAAACATACACTGAAATGTCCGTGTTCGGGTCCGGGGTCCAAAAACCGTAATGTTCGGTATGAACCTGAACTTTGCGGTTCGGGTTCGCTCAACTCTAGTCTAGAACCCTTTGTATGGTCAGAGCCCCTGTTATTGCATGTCCTGGCACTGATAGCAGAGATACACCTTGGAGCTAGCACACAACAACATTTAATGGTAACTCTAAGAGGTCTCTTCAATAAGCATTTGAAAAATTACCCATAAACCTCTTAGTGTCCGTAGGACATTCTATGCTGTCCTAGAATTAGTAAGCTTTAAAACCCCTCAGGAAGTCATAGAATGTTCAGCGGTTTTGGTGTGTGCAGGGTTAAATCTGCTCACATCTGGGAGATCCAGGCATCACTTGATACCTGGGGCTCCCCTCGGTCACCTTGGGCTCTGTACTGTATAAAAAGTGGTATCCCTCTGTGTTAGGGTTAGCCTTAGGTTTAATGTTAGGGCTGGTAGTAGCAGAATACAAATATAGGGTTGTTAGAGTAGAAAGACACTTGTAGTCTACAAAATTACCCATGAAAATATAACATGAGAAAACCACATACAATAAGTAAAACCAGCAGATTTGACAGAGGGTAGTGATAAAATAGTTAAATTAAGTGTCAAGCGCTCTTTTTTTTAATACCCCTAAATACCTGATCTTTTTAGATATATAATTGTGTTCAGTGGTTTTGGATTCTGTGACTGTTATTAATGTTGTAGTCTCAGCATACCAAAATTAGCAAAGGTTTGTTTTAAAACCGTCCTTTAGTCCTTGTCCTACAGCTGTCAAACATGTATAAAATCCTATACATATGAGACGTTTAACAAATGTAATAAATAAGTGCAACTATTTTTTTTGTTTTTGTTTTTATTTTCAGTGCAATAACAATGCTACAGACATTTCTGTTTACGCCACAACAGCTTAGGGTTAAGTCGGTATAACAAGCATGTCTATACAGTGGTTTGGTTATAACATACAATGCACATTATTTTATATAGTGGTCTAGTGTGTTATATCGAGTTGCCTTCATTAGTACTGGTAAATGCTAGGCCAGAAATTGCGATGCTATTGTTGGTGACTTTTTTATGGTGACTTTTTGGGTTTGAGGCTTATACGCCATCTGTCCCACCACCTGGTATTGGTAGTGTGGGGCCCTGGGTCGCTATTCTGAGTGTTTGGTCACCCCATATGCTGGTGGGTGTATTGTTTTTCCCTTTGTGTCGGGTGCCCCTTCTCTCCACGTCGCGGAGTTGCAGATTAACGTAAAGGGAGTGGGAGAGTCTGGAAGATTTTATGTGTGGTGTCCTGTCATAGTGGTCTAGCAGACCCTCGTCGCTCTATGGCGGTAGGGTCTTTCACATCCCCCAGTGTGTAGGGCTGGTTCAAATTGTTTTTCTGCCTTGCTAAAAGGTCATTGTCTATATGGGGTTGGGTTGTAGGTCGGAGCATGGGTGTCTATTTAGTCGTTGGGATCCGCCTAGCGTGGCTGCGTGCTTTGGCAATGTGTCTCCTATGTGTCAGGCTTCCGGTGTGGGGTGTAGCACTCCATGGTTGACTGTGCCCCTTATCCCCGGAGCACTGGCGGGGGATGTGTATTCGGATCGCGGAGCTGCCGTCTTGTGGCTTGGGCCTAACAGAGAGAGTGTGGTTGGCTATGTATATTCGAACCTTAAAACATAGTTAAACATAGTTAAAACATAAACCTGAACATTGTGCGCTTCTTTCCTTGAGTGAGTTCAGGTAGGCCTCTTGTCCCTCCTTGACTCAAGTGTGGGTTTGGCTTTGGCAGTTCGTGCAGAAGTGTGTGGTAGTCCTTGGTTAGTGGTGCTTTGCTGGGAGATATCCAACGCCTTCAGCAGGGCTGGGATTTCATCTGGTTCTGTTGCCTCGTATGATTTTTCATCTTTAGTGACCCAAATTGATCTCGGTGTCGGCCATCTGTGGGATATTCCTTCATTTTGTAGGATTTTCGTAAGGGGTTGCATGGATTTCCTCCATAACAAGGTGGTTCTGCTGAGGTCTTGGAAGAGAGAGAGTTGGCATTGTTCAAAGTTGTAAGGTGACTGTCCCTTTAGTGCCTGTAAGAGTCCCATCTTGTCCGTGATCAATTGGCATCGCAGGATGATGTCTCGGGGGGTTGAGGCTGGGGCCTGAGGAGACTTGGCGATCCTGTACACCCCGTCGAATGTAAAGTATTTGGCTTGTTTTGCCGGCAGGAGGGAGGCCGCCAGTCTCCGTATAAAGTGTGGTAGCTCTTCTAGTTGGATTGTTTCTAGGACCCCCCTTATCTTTATATTCTTCCTGCACCCCCTGTCGTCTAAGATATTCACTTGCCTGCTTGTTTCTGCCTGTGATGCCTGTAATTGCTGTACTTGTTCGCCCAGCATTTTCAGACCTGGTCTGAGGTCGAGCACCTCCTCCTCTATGGCTTGGGTGCTTGCAGTGATGGCCTGTACCTCCGTGGTGAGCACCGCTAGGTCTGCCTCCCACATTCTCCAAAGGTTGTGCTGGAGGCTGGTGAGCATGTCTTGTATCTCCTGTTTAGTTGCAGGAGCTGTTGTTTCATGTGCTTGCAAGGTGCTCCTGTAGGCGGGTGCTGGGTTCTGAGGGGAGGCCCCGCC